GAGAGAGAGAGAGGTGGTTATCTCTTCCTCAAAATCCACTAAAATAAATTTAAGAATGAAGTAGCCATACAATGTGACCTATAAGTTAGAATTATAACCTACAAGACCATTTACTTTTGGTACGAGGAAGTCACAATTACCTATAGCTCACAGCTCAGATGTGTTACAAAGTTCGAAAAAATTTATTCTCAACCATGAGGATGGTCAATGGAATAATTTAATTACCGAATTTCTCATATAATAGTCAAGATTAATTGTAGCTTCCCCCCGACCTTCATTCTGTACGCGATGGAGGATATCTGTGATTTTGATATAGCGTATGTCACTCAGGTCGGAGTGAACTCAACGCTTTAATAATGCGGTAAACGGAGTAAACCATAGAAAAAAATTAAAACAATCATACAAAAGGCAGATGAACAAAGAAAATCCCAAATCCTTCACACAGCTCACTCTTCAAGCTTCTCAACAGTGGGCACAAAGGACTGGAATTTTTAAGGATTTAAAGGGGGAAAAACGTGGCAGAGAGAAATAGAAGGTGCAAAACTCTTGAGAGAGATGGGATGGGGGTACTTATAAGCATAAAAGGGAGATAACATGCAAGTGACAAGTGTCATTCATGCAAGGGCTACATGGCATAGAAGTACCATGTGGTCTCATGCTCATACAAGTGTCTTGTGGTGCTCATGCTCATGCAAGTGTCATTTGGTGCTCATGCTCATACAAGTGTTAGGTAGTGCTCATGCTCATGCAAGCGTTGTAGTGCTCATGCAAGTGTCATGTGGTGCTCATGCTCATACAAGTGTCATGTGGTGCTTATGCTCATGCAAGTATCATGTGGTGCTCATGCTCATGCAAGCACAACATAAAAAGGTTTTTCCCTGGCATTCACGCATGTCGTTACCCATTACATGTACGACGATAACTCTCTTTCTCTCTCTCTCTTCACAGCCGGCACTGCCCCTCTCTCTTCACAGCCGGCGTTGCCCTTCTCTTCACAACCAGTGCAGCTTATCTCTCTTCACAGCCATCACTGCTTCTCTCTCTTCACAACCGGTGCTACTTCTCTCTCTTCACAGTCGGCGCTGGTTCTCTCTCTTCACAGCCGGTGCTGCTTCTCTCTCTTCATAGCCGACGTTGCCTTACACTTCCAGCCATGTAAGTCTTTTCCTTTTCTCTGACTTGGGAAAAATCTTGGGTCGTTACATCATCCTCCCCTAAAAAGGGATTTTGTCCTCAAAATCTTACACTTGTTCATCACATAAATAGGGGTTTAATAACGACATTCCTCTCCAAACAATCTACTAAGGCATGAATACACAACCAACCCACATCTAGAAAGGCGTACAAAATCCTAAGCATCCAAGAGAATCAAATTCTATAAGTACCCAGTTATTAACGTATCCAAGAACCACTCTAAGGATTCTTCTAAGACTCCCTATGCCAATAACCTATCCTGGCTGCTTTGATACCATAACTGTCACGACCTCACCCCTGACCCCCATTCCATACTCGACAGAGGATGACCAGGTGTGGGTCCTTGATTTCGATGTAGCGCATGTCACTTAGGTCGGAGTGAACTCAACGCTTTAATAATGCGGTAAACAGAGCAAACCATGGAAAAGAACTAAAACAATCATACAAAAGGCAGATGAACAAAAAAAATCTCAAATCCTTCACGCAACTCACTCTTTAAGCTTCTCAACAGTGGGCACAAAATGCTGGAATTTCTAAGGGTTTAAAGGGGGGAAAACGTGGGGAGAGAGAGAAGGTACAAAACTCTTGAGAGGGATGGGGTGGGGGTACTTATAAGCATAAAGATGAGGTAACATGCAAGTGACAAGTGTCATTCATGCGGGCTAAATGGCATGCAAGTGTCATGTAGTGCTCATGCTCATGCAAATATCATGTGGTGTTCATGCTCATACAAGTGTCATGTGGTGCTCATACTCATATAAGTATCATGTGGTGCACATGCTCATACAAGTATCATGTAGTACTCATGCTCATGCAAGTGTCATGTGGTGCTCATGTTTATGCAAGTACAACATAAAAAGGTTTCCCCCCTGGCATTCACGCACGACGTTACCCATTACATACACGACGATAGCTCTCTCTCTTTTTACAGCCGACGCTGCCCCTCTCTCTTCACAGCAGACGTTGTCTCTCTCTCTCTTCACAGCCGACGCTGCCTCTCTCTCTCTTCACAGTCGGCGTTGCCTCTCTCTCTTGATAGCCGGTGCTACCTCTCTCTCTTCACAGCCGGCGCTGCCTCACACTTCCAGCCCTGTAAGTCTCTTCCTTTTCTCTGACTTGGGAAAAATCTTGGGTCGTTACGATATACTAAATATAGATGGAAAGAGAATAGAGGAGAAGATAATTAAAGAGAGAATGGAAAGATATTGATCTATAATCATGTCTATTAATAGCCCTATTGAATTTATAATCCTCGTAGGAAAGCATTGTTGGCAACGAAAATCTCTATGACGGCTCTAAAATCAATTTTTAACACTGAGGATAAAATTTGAAATCTCAAAAACTGCACAGATCTTGCAGATATTTGAGCACTTATTTTTATAGCGAAATGGATGGTTTAAACAATTTTTTAAAATATACGCTATTTTTAGAGCTTGAAATCCTAATTTTTTTCACAATCATAATGTTGAAGCCTAGATGATCAATTTAAAGGTTTTCCAATGCTTGAAATACAATTTTCGATGAGTTATGAGTTGAGGTTATACTTATTTTAATAAGGCTGCAGCCCCTAGGATATCTTATATATGTCCTCTTACCTTTTAAAATTGGACAAGGAAAATAGTTCTCTTATGTTTACCAATCGAAAAGCTCAATTTACCCAATGCAATTTAACTTGAACTCCACAAATATCAAGGCCGTTTAATCTACATTCTCTCGTGCAATATTTTGATGACATTTGTGTTTGCCTCAATTGCGGCCTAGTATGTGTATAAAGGATCATACCCTCAACTCATTTTAAATGATTTTATTAAAAAAAAATTAAGTCCGTTCTACGAAGGCTTTAAAATATTTAAAATAACTCAAGGCATCTGATTTCTTTTTTTTCATATAATTTCATATTTTTCTATTAAAATTATCTATGAAAGTGACAAAATATGCGACCCCTCAGATAGAGACAATATGTAATTTCCACATGTCTGTATGAATCAATACCAAAAAATCCTTACTTCTATGGTGGATAAAGTAAAGGGGTGGGGTTTGTATGGAGCCTAGGCTCTAAATAATCAAATTAGAGCCTACCTTCAAATAGTGTCGAGAAATGTGGTTTCAATATTGGAAATCTTTTTGATAGCCTTAAAATATAGTTTCATCTTTATTTATAAAGATTAAAGCTTAAAAAATTGTGTAGATCGAGAGATCTATGAAAACTTGAAAATATTGAAAATTGACAGTCCAAAAGTGCGTTACAAAGTACACTATTTTCAAAAGTTGAAATCTATTTTTTTCTCATGTCCATGCATCTTGATGTCGAGATGATCAATTTGAAGATATTTAGGCATCAAAACAACATCTTCTGGTGAAATTTTTGAGGCAGACTCGAATTTGATTGTTTAGAGCCTCGCTATATCAACTTTTCCCTAAGGTACAGTGCAATTTACTCTCTTTCCAAACAAACATGACTCACAAAAATTTAAGAGATTTTAAACTAGGGAAGACGTTTGCATTGAGAATTTACCCGATCCAAACCCAAAACCTGAATTTCGGATCCTATTCAAATCCAAGTATGGATTCAAGATTTTGACAAAAAATTATGATCCGGTTCCAAAATTCAGATTCAAATAGTATTTCGGATAGGATCTAGACGTAGGTGGATCCGATCCAAATCCAACATGATTTTTAAGTATATTTATTAATTTACACATATAATATACATATAAATTTTTAAACTTTTACAATACGTAATCCCCATTGTTCGTTTATAGAAGATGAAAGGTAGGGATTGGAACCTCGCTTTTCCCTCTCTAAAGTCAGGAATTAGGGTTTCTATAAAACCATGGAATCGAAAACCGACGACACACACTACTGTTGTTACTGTTGACGGTGAAGAGTGAGAAAATAATCATGGTTTCTCTCTCCAAATTGTGGACTCTCCTGCCTAATTAGTAAAACTTCCAAAGTTCCATTGAACTGTTCGAAATTTCAGACAATCATGCTCATTGTAAAGGTTGCTTCCCTACTCCTCGTTGGCTTAAATATTGGGTGGTTTTTCTCTTTGTAAAGTTGTA